CGGAGCCGAAGCGCGTACAAAATGGCTGCCCACAGATACCGGCCTCTGATTGGTTGAGGACGGGCGTGGAGTTATAGAACGCAGAACAGCTGAATTCCTCCACACACACACACGTGTAGCGTGTCCTCTTCTATATGCTAACCGATTGCTCTCAATACCCTGCAAACTTGCATCTCCACCATGTAACCCTTTGAAGCTGCAACAGCCTTCTGGCCCCGCCTCCATTTCCTGTTTGAATCACATCAATCATCAGCAACCCTCTCTCTTCCAGATCCCCGCTGTCCTAGTCCCGCCCCTCACAGCTACTACCATCACTCATTTTTGCCCCTTCGTCACGTGTGGGCGTGACCTTTTAGACCAGGGGGTAGGCGACGTTGGCCCTCCAGCTGCGGGTGAAACTACAAATCCCATCATGCATCTGTCTCTGGGAGTCATTCCTGTATCTGTCCGAGTCTTGCAATGCCTCATGGGACTTGTAGTTCCACAGCAGCTGCAGCGCCGAAGTAGCCTCGCCCCCGCTTTAGACCCGGCTTCAGTCACTGAATGACAGGAAAGGACGCATGCCCAGCATCCCTTGCAGTGTGCGTCCCCCGCTGATCCGTTTGTGCCGAAGATTTTTAGCTGTGCACTCTGCTGATCAGTTGCTTGGCCACGCCCTATCAGTGTGTAATCCGGCAACTGATCAGCAGAGTGCACAACTACATTCTACAGTGACCGGCAGGGGATGCGTTCTTTCATATAGAGTTCGAAGCAGGGTGGTTTGCAGGAGTCCTCCCGATGAAACTCAATCCGCAGACCAGCCGATCGATGCCGTGATGATGTCAGAGGTGGGGTGTTTTTTTTTTTCCAGTTGCTGTCAGCCAACAGTTTCAGCACGCTGACAGAGGGAGGGAGCGGAGCGATAACATCTTTGGCGTACTGCTTTTTTTCATTCCTTGGGGGGGCGAGTCGGTGACCCAGCTCGGTCCGTGACTGCCATGGAGAAAAGTGTGGTCACTGACCCGGCTGTGTTGTCTGGCGGGGGAGGGGAGTCTGGATCACAATACTGGCTGAGCATAAGACAGTTAGAATGACCCCGTGCGTCACCTCCTCACCTCCCCGTGCATTCTGGGAGCACGCTGACTCTTCACCCCCCC